AAAAATAAAAAAAAATCTCAACTTTATATTTTGAGGTACACCTTCCTTCAAGAGACACGTGACCCTTGAATTGCCCATGTTGAGTAACCTTCATTGTTAGACACGTGGCCCTTGATTTCCCCATCGCCTGCTATCAACCACCAAAATTTTAGTCATTTTATATTGCCTTTCAATCCCACATTTCTTTGATGTTGGGATTTCCTCTCTATCTCTTCGGTTGACTCACATCGCTGAAATTTTTTGAATTAGATCTTTCTTTAGGTCCCACCCTGCCATTGCCTGGTGAATAAACTCCGTCTAATAGTGTACTAGCTTATGGGATTAATATTAGGATATTAGCTTATTTGGAATTATAAAAAAAAGGAAAAAAAGTTATTAGCTCATGATTTATTAAAAAAAAATACTAATATTAATTAAATGAACATTTTTTTAAAAAAAATAATACTAACTTATCGTATATTTTTTAAAAAAATAACAATAACTCATACCACTTTAGAATCTATCATCAAGTTATTTTATCAATTATTTCATATTGCAAGTATGAATTTATTTATTTAATTTTTTAATTTTATGAAAACATGATTGCAAATTTATGTTTTTAAATTCTATATTTTGTCCATATTAATTATTACATATTAGATTTATTAATTTGTGAAGGTCATAACCTTGTTTTCTTTCAATTAAATCAAAAGTTCCAAAATTATTGTAGAAGTTCCTTCTTTTTCACTATAAATTTGAGCCAAAAAGATCCATTCCATTACAATGAGTTGCATTTAGATTTCATTTTGAATGTAAAATGGATAACAAACACTCAGACATGAGATGAATTCTAAGTACTAATGTATTTTCAAGAAAATAATAAAAAAACTATAATGCAATTCGACTATTTTTTAAAAAACCTAAAAAATAGATTTTTAAAACTTTTTAGTATTATTTTTTTAAAAAAAAAAATCATGCCAAATCTTGCTGATGTGGCCGATTTTCAAATCAAAATTGTTAATCAACCAATCCAATACGGTTTTTAAGGTAGCCGATTCAGATCATCGATCCGGTTTTTTAAAACCTTGATTCTTTGCCTCCCTAAATTAAGGGATATCCTAAGGTTTGTCTTACACCATTGCGTACCTAAATAGGAGGAGAGAGCTTCCTATTAAAATATATAGGGGGTGTCGTTGGAGTGTTTGCTAAGAGGAAGAGTTCCGAAGAGACTAAGAGAGAGATAATAGGCAATTTGGAGATGGAAAGAGAATCTATACCAATCACATATATACCTAATATTTGTGTTTCCTAAAGTTTGAATCGCACTCTTTTAATTTTTTTGCACGATCATCTTCACCATATGTTTTTTTAAATAGTTTAGAAGTTAGTTTTTTTTTTTTTTAAGGTGCTAGTAGAGCCATATCAATAGAAATGAAAACCAAAACATAGCGTCTAAGATTTGGCACCAACCTCTTCATCAAATTCAAGATAATACGTATACTAAACTTTTTACTCTACAACCATTGGCTAGGCCCTATGTCCCCTATAATGGGGGAGGGCAATCCACCATGGGCAGCCCAAATGTTTTCCTATCATTTAACGAAGGGTGCACCTTGCATACGGATGCATCTGTAGATGTAGAGGTAAGATGCACCTTCAAATTTTATCATGGTATATAATTTTGATGTAAAATGTACTTAGGATTACCTCAAAATCTATTTTTATATTTAATTATAAAATTTTGAATTTCAAAAATGGTTAAAATCAAGTAGTTCTATAAACCTATGAAAATCTTGAAAATGGATGGTGTAAATAATATATTGTAAAATGTACTATTTTTTAGACTTAAAATCCTTTTTATTTTTCATAGTCACATATCTCGATGTCGAGATGATCATTTTCAACATTAAAACCACCTTTTCGATTTTTGAGGGGCATCAGTAATTCTACATTTTTAAGGTAGCATCCTTATATAAACTTTTTCCTTTAATGAATCAATAAATAATGCCATAACATTTTGACACCAATTTGATGAGTTATCACCGACTCTCTAGAGTAAATGTTTTCCAAGATCATTTGTTTTTAGTTAATAAATCATGATGATAATTATCAAAAGATTAATCATTCAACATTTGACCAATGTTCCAAACTTAATCAGTCATGATTATGTGCATTGAAAGGTCTTTTTTTAATCAAATAAAAAACGATATGACTGTCAAATAATTAATCTCCCTTAAGTCAATTTATTAAGCTTCCCATTAATTACCAAATACTGACAGATTTTTAATAACTCTCTCATTTAAGTGATGACGAACTGTTCATGTAGATGAGAATAATTTCCTTTTTCTCAGTGAAGCTAGACTTACTTTAAAAAAGGAAATTTTAAACAAGGTACCACCCCAATTTTAAAGACGCAACTCTATATGCACAGGAAAATCAAGATCACATGAGCGAGAAGATCTTGAAAATAGTCATTTCCATCAAATTCTTGGCCTCCTATGTTCCCATATAATAACAGAATATTTTTTAATCTAACCATGTAAGAAAATTTATTAAAACAAAATGAATACCAATGTTGTTTTACACGGTTGCATGCAACGAATAATAACCATTTAACCTAGGTGATATACGGATGAGGGATCCATCGATCCATTATGTAGCAATTGAGGATTGAAGAAACACGTTTAAACTTTTAAGGGGCCATTGCAATCTGCAGGCTTCATTTAAAGATGAATCATACTATTAATATGGTCTTCCATTTTGATCAAGGAAAACACTATCCCTATCCCTACAATATGAAGGGATGGTATACAATGAAAACATTTATTTTTTATACAACCAAATCACAATCATTCTTCTTAACTACTGGACTCTTAACTACTGGATGTAACATCAAATTAGATTGAAATATGTCACAATATTCAAGAAATTTTATTTTAAACACTGCCTAGTCAATGACGCATCCCTATCCACCCGATTTCACATCTAATGATAAATAATAGTCGTCATCACCTTGTACTAAAAGTAAAGAGTCTTAATGTATGCATTTTTAACTCGTGATTCCAAAATGCTATAGGAAACAAACACAGATAAAATTGCAAATTGGTCAATTCATAAACATGACAAAAACACATGGAGTAATGACATACTCAAGTAACCGAGCTCTAGTTGCGCTAGCGCCATCCGAACAAAAATCGGATGGACACGAGATGCAGTGTAGCCCATCTGATCGACACCTACCAAATTGGGTCCACATTTCTCTTGTCCATCCAATTTTTATTAGAACACAGGCGCTAGCTCGCCTACATCTAAATGAGCCAAGATCACTATCTACAGTGTCAAAACATAATATTTGCATCAATTGTATAATAAGGAATGAAAGAGCACTGATGAGATGATTTGCTCTCTCGTTCATGTGGAAAGATCCATATTTGTTTACTCATACATGCATAAACATGAGGAAGCTTTATTATCAGGAAGCAAGTGACAACGAGGTCGAAGAGAATAAGTGCGGAACCCGTGTTCCCACTATGGTTGATTGAGAGGGTACCAAACCGTTGCTTGGCGGAGTGAATACAAGAGGCAGGTACTCGTCGCTGTCGCATGGAAAGTTCGATGATCTAAAATGCTCCACCAAGGCATTCTTCCCCTAAAACACATCCTAGAATCAGTAAAACCATTTATTCTACTCAGGTGTATGTGTGTGTGAGAAAGAGAGAGAGAGGGAGAGTTTGTGTGTGTTTAACAGGTATGGGGGTACAACACTAAAAATCCTCAGAGCAAGAAATTTATGGTCGTAAGCTTCATCAATGTCCATTCAATGGATGGATAGTGGACAGACTTTGGTGCCCCATGTTGGAAGTGATGCAACGTTCTAGCACACTCCACTCTGTATTTAATACCATCCAATCATTAATTAAATTGTAATGGTCCTTCCTGTGATTATGAGGATTATTGTATACTTCTCCTAGTGATAATATTCATAAGTAGTGATCAAAGGGCTCGGCTAATTTGTAAACACGTAGTGAAGTGTTTGTATAACTGCACGCAGACTCCACTGTCTGCTCACATTGACAGATAGCGGAGATCAACGTTCCTCCAATTGGCGGATAATGGAGAAGGAAAGTCCATCTCCACTGCACATCAATGACAACGAGGGAGTGTCCATCTCCACTGCACATCAATGACAATGAGGGAAAGTCCATCTCCACTGCACATCAATGAAATCAGTTGATTGGACTAAATCTCATATACAAACAATATAGGGTACTTTGATCGGACTAAATCTCATATACAAACAATATAGGGTACTTTGATCGGACTAAATCTCATATACAAATAATATACGAAGTAGTACAGGTATGTTTTCATGTAACCAAAATTAGAATAAGAGATCCCAGATTGACGACTTCTATAATGAATGAAAAAGATATATGTCACCTTGTCTAAAAAGAAAAGCATTGGAAGGAGTTTTACTTGAAGGCGGGCATAGGCGACTCGGCAAATCTTTTTGGAGGACAACATTTGCCAATGACATCCATGTAATTTGGAGCAGAGAGCCTTCATTCCTCTCGTTGTTGTAAAGTTGACAAAGGCATAACCTAAATTGCACTTGCTCCTGCACTACCCCAAATATCCATTAAAAATTCCCATGATGAGCAGTTTATTTCTGTGATCTAAATTCTCTAGGCCTATAAAGTGTACTATTTATCTAGTTAGTGAGGTCTTAAAAGGAAAATCACAGATTATACAATTGGTGAAAAAGAGTAACCACCCCAAGCTAAGAGGAGTACAATGTTCCTCTCACTCATAGATAGAGGACTCACTTCCTTTTTTTCCCCTTTTTTTCTGGTATGCAACTTTCAGATGCAAATACCTAAGTATCACTAAAACAGACCCTAACCAACACACGCAGAAAGAGAGAGAGAGAGACTTGGGCAAAATGTTCTCACAAAACTAAGGGGAACAGAGAAGATAACAAAATTCAATAGATTTACATAAACCGGATCTAGTCCTCAATTGAAAGAACTCATTTTCCTAATTCTATATAATGGGTCTAGTATCACTATGTATGGAGGAAGCCTAATTCCATAAATTTATCCACATCCCAGGTCATGAGCAAACCAATAAGAATCACACAGGTACAATTCAGCATCAGCATATAATATAAGTAGCTACCATGGAGAATTCATAGCTCCAAGGAAATCTATGTGTAAGTTGGAATCTTTGTCTATGGATATCCAATATGAAGTCACCAAACACCCTAAGAGGTCCAGTGGACATTTTGCCATATTCCACGGACCCACTAACACACGATTCTTATTTGCATGTTCTAGAACTGACTCTAGCAACGTTCCAGAAGTTACTGAAAGGAAAAAGTTTATATAAGGTGTAACCTTAAACAATTGAAGTAAGGTGCAGCTCAAAAAAACTCTAGAAGAAAATCCCAAAAATAGTGTGCATCTTGTGACAAGTTATCTAGAGATTTTCAAGTGTTTATAAATCTGTTCGATCTATAGTATTTTTACAATTTTAAATTTCATTAGTAGGAATTAAAATACATTTTCAAGCCATCATAAGAAATCCGACACCACAACATCTCTAGAGAAAATTTATAGGTGCACCTTACTTCTACAGTGCAAGGAGGTCCCCTTATATAAAACTCACCCATTATGTAACACGTAATTCTTCAAGAATAAATTAGAATCATGATTCTAGACGATATGCATTCTTCAAGCCACTTCAAATCAGAAATCAGAAGCTAAGAATACTTGTGCATGACTTTTGAAGCCACTTAAAAATCAAGCTATCTTATTCACTTTAATATGATTTAAAAACCATGTGTAAGTCTTAACAGCCACTTCTGAAATATGATTTTAAAATATGATCAAATGATTTATGTTAGGTATTGATAAATGGATATTTCGAAATGGGTCTGTATCCATGTCAGATACTTATGTAAAATCACAATAAAAAAATAATGAAATTCTAACATGTCCAAAGCCCTATTAGAGCATAAATGAGCTCAATTTTTAAAACAGGATGAGTATTATATTTTGAGAAATTTATACACATATCTCCTAAAATTCACCTAAATTTTTCACTTATTACATTCATACCCATTTTTCACAATTTTTTTCTAAATGGCCATAATTGCCCATTTTTAACATCTTCAATATCCAAAAAGAAACATAACAGAAATTAAGTTATACTCTAAAACTTCAAATCTTGAAAATTTGAAATTAAATATTATAAATATGTGAAATTTCAGCCCAATTTTCAGACTTTCGGGGCTGAAATACCCAAATAATCAAGGCAAGGAAGAAAACCAGTTGTTTGACTAGCAGACAATAAGTTTCTTTCCATAACGAACTATTTCCACACATTATGAGACAGACCAGACTAATCAAATCGATCCGTCTGAGAACGTGTCCAAACTGTATATTTAAAGAGTCGTGAGAGGTGGTTCCTCTCAAAAGACCTATTCCTCTCAAATTTGCGACAACACCGGTTTAGGTTTTTTCTTCTTTTTTGCCTAGAAATTTTACCTCTAGAACTTTTGAATGACTAAAAATGATTTATTGTAATGTCTGAATTTGCTAGATTAGGGCACCTAGATCTAGGGTTTTTACGGCTTAAAGCTGGGGTTAGAGTTTGGATCTCAGATTAGGGTTCGTGCTTAAGCTAGGGGAAAAAGGACATAAAAAAATCTATTTCTAAACAAAACCACCACAGAACAAGAAGGAAGTTGTCTCTAACGAATCAAAAGTTGACATGAACTACACCACACCCTATGATGCTAAATTACCATATCTTGAACCACACTACAGCATTGGTCACCCTTTAGTTCCGAGTTTTGTGGAATTTTTTCGAGATTATGATTATGATAATGCTTACTTGCCAATTTTGATCAGAAAATCTTGATTTGACAAATAATGCAATATTTTCTCAATTTGCATAGGAACCGATATATTTTGAGTAATGGGATTTCTTAAGGTTGATATTTAGGATTTCTAAAGGAATATTTTGTTGGGCATTTGTGGCCATTAAAGGTCTTCTGAGAGCATGTAATCAACATTTTCTATAGTGGAACAATAAACTCTATTGGGAGTATGGTCCAACGGGCTCGAAACTGGCAAATGAAGCTTGCCAAGACTTAGACTGAGCTTAACGAGCTAGGCCAGTCAAGTTACAAAACCCTAAATACCTAAGCATATAGCACAACCAATAAGGGTTAACAAGGTTATCCCTTGATGAGGTCTGAGTTGCTCAAGATAATGAGCCAATGGATTGTGTAACCCTTGTGGGTGATGGTAGGCTTGTAAGGGCGAGAGCCAAAGCCTCATCTTGAACCATCACGCAGCATGTACATATAATAGCTGTGTTGGGAAAGAAAACTACCATTGGAGGTGACATGAGTACATATGCGAGAGATGAGCCCTATGCACCATAGAGTTGTAGTTGCACAAAGTCTATGTGACATTGGACTGGTTCCTAAGGGAGAACCTGTAATCCATAGACTGAGATTGTGTACCCTAACCAATTGGCTGACTTTGGTAGTTCAATCATGAACCCTTGCGATGGTCTGTGGGTCATACGAACTACTGGGTCAGTTTGAAAAAATAAGTGTGGATTATAATCCTCAGTAGAAAATGAAGTGCTTCAACAAATTAATAATTCCTTGACCTAGTTGGATCTGAATCCCTTCAAAATATTTTAGAATTAATTATTTGATCTTAAATGATTTTTAGATTGATAGTTTGAATTTTTAGAAGTCTTTGGATATTTTATTTTCTCAATATGGATTTATAAATAGAGAGAAAACTGAATTTTCAGTATTTTAATATTCAGAGAGAAAAATTAAATAATAGTCCTTTTCTAAAAATCATTTTTATTATTTCAAAATTATTATTACATATGGGGGCCCATTACACTTCATAGGCCCCACTAAATTAAAACTTGTGGGTGGTCTGTGGGGCCCACTAGAGGTCCCATGAGAGGCACACCCCCACATATTTTTTTTTCCTATTTTGTTAACCTTGTCAATCAAGGCATTCAATTAAGATGAAATAACATGAAGGTTATGAACATTAAGAGATATGATTTTTAATTAAAAGCATGTGTAAGAAAATTATGAAAAAGAAAGGCAAGTACTATTATGTTTTCCATATTTTATTTATTTGATGGGGATTAGATTAAGGAAGTTGAAGGATAAGGTTCTAGCACCTTCCTTTTAATCACGATGATTGATCTAAGGATTGTATCGCTGAAATCTCTCAACCCACAGGTTTCCTTTGATCAATGGTCTGGATCTTCCCTCCATAAGGATGGTTAACCCTAGGAAACCCCAACCTTAGAGAAAATCTATAAATAGGCACCATGGGGTCCTAATTGTCTGCACCTTGAGCTCTCTCTCACCCCCTCACAAGATGGCACGCCACCCTCTCCCATCTGTCCCTTGCCTCCATTAGGAAATTTAGTAAGAGAAATAGGGGGCATGCCCCAATCATAGTGACCAAGGGTATCATACTAGGTATCGAGACCTAGCTTACTATACTAGGTATTGAGACCTAGCCTTCCATACTAGTTATTGAGACCTAGCTTACAATACTAGGTATTGAGACCTAGTATACCATGATTAGGCATTGAGGCCTAATCTTGTGATTGTTCCACTATTGCTATCTGATTTGAAGGTGTTGATAGCTTGAGGCTTCCTATAGAGGAGGAGACCCGGAGTGGGGTGTGCAAAGTCCAGTTGAGGTAATCTTCTGGCAATTTATTTTTTGTTTATGCGATTTGTGTTTCATGCTCCAAAGATCAAGTTTACACAATTTTGTTTATGCAATCAAGAGTTGTTAAAATGGCAGTAAGTAAGAGTCTTTGGGATTCTTTGTGTTTTTGTTTAATGTTTCTCATAATGTATTTGGACATTTTTGAGTAATCCGGGTGGTGAAAGTAAAGAAAAGAGAAAAATTGTGATTGGTATACACTTGCCCAAGCTAAATAGTCCTACTTCCATATTTAGCTTCCTAGAATGGGATTTTCTAGATTTATAGCATATTCAGGGAATATTCCAAGCTAGACTACATACTAGATGTGGACTATGTTTTAGAATGTGCTATGGTGTACTAGGAAAGTGTCATCCAGTTTTAATTTGGGATTTTCAAGATCTTGAATTTTAAAATATTACTTATTCCTACAATATTTATTTTCAGATCTTGAAGACCTGAAATATGGGCAATTTGCTCATTTTAAAATTTTCCAAAAAAAAAATGGGTATGAACATAGTAACAAAAATCTTTTGGGAGATTCTAAATAAGGGAAGTATAGAGCGATATGCATGTAAATTTCCCTTATTTTATTGATTTTATAAGATATGCATGATTCTTGGATACTTTCAGAATCAAAATAATTAATAAATGCACGTCTTGGTGACTTCAAACGTACATGGACATCACGATTCTAAATGCAACTAATACATGGTTTTTAAGACCACCATATTATAGATGATATTCATATGCCTGTCACTTGTGTTTTGGGCCAAAAACCTTCCAACCAGTCATTCCCATTAAAACATGCAGTTCCCCCTGTAATGGTGCTTCGTTGATGGTGTATAGC